GTCCCCAAGTTTCTTCTGATCCCCGCGACCATTCTCAGTTCACTTCTGTTGCCCCAGTAAAACACGGCTGCCGAGAGGGAGGTGCCCGGCGAATCGAAGACGCCCTCTGAATCTTCAGATCGTCTTGTTTCTCACCTCGTTCACTGGGTGTGACCATGGAAGCTTGCTGCTAAATTGAGACCTTGGACTTGGAGCTGCGCGTCCCTCTAGTTGTCGAGGCGGAAGGGATATCCCGAATGCAGCTACTGCGGAGCTGCGTGCTCGCAAACTCGCCAGCAGGGAATGGCCTTGAGCTGCACCCGCGCGATTCCTTGCAAAAACAACACGGCCATCATGGGCCGATTTGGTTCTCAAATCCGGACGTCCTGGTTTCCGTCTTTTCATGTCAGTCGTCATCGGTAATCACCGTCGCCAATCCGATAGACAGACCACTTTGACGACCCTGATATGCCAGGCCACCCAGGAATCAAAGCAGCGGGTGTCAGTCAGATGCTCAGACTGTAAACCGGATCGCTGGAGCCCTTCACCACGGCCTGCCGTCTGCGAACAAGCAGCCAATGGCCGCTGGAGCCAGGTGTGCCACCCCGATCAGACACTACCTGCAAATACACACTCAGGCTGCAGCTCGCGTGGCCGCTGTGGTGTGGTGGGTTCGTACTCGGATTGGGCAGCGGGTAGCTCGGGGTCCCCTTGCAAACCTCGAGCTTGGTACCGCACAAGCCACCACCCGTCCAGTAGCGAGCGTACCAAAAATCCCTATTGAACGGATGCCAGCCGCTGGGTCCAAGTTATGTAACAAGACTGATGGAGCAGTACTAATCAGCCCAATGCTGCGTTGTACTTGTGAAGACAATCTGCTGGCTGCTTGTCGTCGTGGCTGACGCTGGCCTGGTGGCTCGTCTACCTTAGTTGACTTTGAGACTGGCAGCAGGCCTGTGATGCACCGGCAACACCACTTCGTTTTTGATGGTGTTTAGCGACGTCCACGTATGGTGACGAGCCCGATCGTGGACGGGCGGTTGGCCTTCCAGCCAGACTCGACGTGTGAGACGTCTCGAGCGGATAACCTCGTTAGATCAGACCGTCCACTGATAGGCGTCCGCACCTAATGCGGTTGGCAAAGCCAAAAGGAACCCGAGGATTTAGGGTGCTCTGCTAGGCGTGATACGTCGCTGGGCCCATGGTTGTTGGCAGCCAGAGCACAGAGTTCACTGACATGTGGAAGGCTATTGTTTCTCTGTATCAGGCGCTTGTTTCGACGTGCAGTTGACAATGGCAGTGCCAGGCGTGCCTGGCTGCTGATGTGGTCGCAGACGCGCAGTAGTCGCTGATAGTCTAGAACAGGATAACAGTTGCGATGCCCAATTGCTGACTCTGTTGCAGCAGCCCAACAAACCAGACGGTCTGGACTTGCGGTCTTGTAAAATCTCAGCCACCGCGATGTGCCCGTGCTGTTGTGGAGAGCGGGACGCGAGACTAGGGCCTGTCAACGGCGGAGACAGCAAGCTGACCTATTGAACAAGACGAAAGCCCCAAAGCATGTGTACTGCGTAGAGGCAGCTAACATTGCACCACCAAGACCCCATTGGCCGAGAAATAACAGCAAAGGTGCGGCGAACGCGCGCAGACTCGCACTCGGCTTCCCGAGATTGGCGGGGTGCTTTCAATCGAGGGAGGACTTGTTGGTTAGAGCTGCGATGCGACCTCACCACCTGCGTCTCGAATCTCTCGATCGTCCACTATGCGAGCGAGAAAGTAAGACAGGAGCTGATATGCAACGGCGGTGAGGTCAGGCTGGGTACGTATTGTCTCTCGTCTCTGCGGGTGTCTTGTCTAGACGGCTGTCAGTTGGCGATTGGCGAGATGGAGGCCGAATCGGATAAGAAAGCCTCATCAGCGCAGAGACAGGCTAAGGAGGAAAAAGTAGTGATGTTCATCGAAATCGCGATGGAGGGTGTTCAGCCCAACCCGGTGATTGAATGCCCGAGTTCACAGTAGCTGGGATACGGAGGATCAGGAGAGGGTATCGGTACGCTCGCGGCCGCCAATGCTCTTGGCTGCCGGTTCCCGCAGGCAGATCGGCTGTCAGCAAGAAGGACGGCGATTCTGCCCGATGCCGTTACTTGGGTCACTGGATCAGCGCCCTTGGTAAAGAGAGACGGTGGCACAGGTTGATCTCCTCTCTGGGTGGTAGCAGGGCAGGGCGGTAAGCTCGCAGCCGAATGCCTCCATTCGGGGACTTCAGGGTCAGGCACACAGCACCCACAGACGAGTGCTCGCCGAAAGCCAGTGCCTCGCAGCGAGGCGAGCAAAATAAGCTTGGGCGCGTCGGAAGGAGTTGAAGTCAAGACGGGTCAGCCAATCCGGTGCGTGGTCGGGGTGCCGAACAGACACATGGGCGAGGGGCCTTTGGTCGTCCGGTGACGCTTGTTGGCGGCGAGGGTCTCGTCGTTGTCTGCCCGGGGGCGAAGCTTAAACGGAGAGGAGACTTGACATGTCTCTTGCTCGTCTCAGAATGGTTTTTGTTGGTACCCAGGTGAGCGGGTGGACAATGAGATTGGGTTCCACGGTGCTTGGTGTGGCTCGTCGAGGGTATCGTGGGTAATCTGACCAGAGGTACCCTACCCCAAGTCCCGTCGTAGGGCGACGGGCGAAAAAGGTCGGACGGTGCAGGCAAGTTTTGGATGGGAAGGGTTCGCTGGGCCGAGAGCAGCCGGGGAGCCATGTGAAACAGAAACAGAATGATTTGTTGCAGGCGAGTGGAAGGTTTGTTTCCAGGTGGGAGCAGCTGGGATGGGCGATGGTTTGCTTCACAAGTGTTGGTGAAGGCCTCGACGGGTGTTCATGTGGCCGTCGTATTTCGTACTTGCATTTGCGTTGTGTGTTCAGGTCGTACCTTGCCTTCGATTGGATGCACAGTTCGGAAGGTGTCTTCCGATGACAACGGAAGTGCAGGTGCAGATGCGGTCTCCACTTGGTGGGATAGGTGAGGTGAGCCAAGTCAAACAGGGAAGGCAGCAGCAGCGACGGGGAGGAGCAAGTGCCTGTTCGGTGAACGCCGTAGCGGTCGGGGGAAGGAGCAGCATGTCGGCGTGCACCTGCTTTCCGCCCCGACGCCGCTGCTGGCAGGATCGGGGCCGACTTTCCTTCCTCGACGGAATTCACACTGCGTGTCTCCTGCCTCCCGACTCCCGAATGCACCTTCCTGTGCCTGATACCCGAGATAAGGCACCCTTCCTCGCGTGATGAGACTACATGGCACCACCATCAGGAAGGCACGAAGGTACGCAGCGTGGCAGCTAAGGCAGGCATGGTCACAGTCGCTCCTGTCTAATGCGCTTCTGATCACATCTCACTGTACCTTACTGTCCATTCTTGCCAATCGTACTTGCACATGCTTCACCCTCCCGTCCATCACCTCAGCCATCTCATCCGTCCATCGGGCTCTCCCAAATGACAGGAGCGACATGGGAATCTGTCTGGGCCGCCATCCAACTCTGAGCGAACCCACCACCAACCTCTCCTCTCCACTTTGATCTGTCCATCCCGCTTGCCCGCCAACTGCAGCAGCACACGGCGGATCTCCCGGGAGTTGAGGTACTTTCTACAGTACCTTACTCTGCCCGAATACATTGTGGGTGGCTTGCCGTTGGCTTATCTGGAATTCTAAAGTGGTGGCTCACCTGCATCCCTAGCAGCCTAGCCTGTCCTTCTGTTGGGGGCTTCCCGGCATGTCATTTCCTCCTTGAGGCGCATCATGGGATGCCAACATTGCGGATCATGGTCAGCACAAAAGTTATTCACGTCTTCTGATAAAGTCCATTCAGCCTCACTGCCGATGCCCCATTTCCCCGACCCATGCCGCTGGATGCGGCTGTGCTTTTTTGCATCGACATCTCTAATCAAAGTCCCCATCTGTCGGCCTCCAATCAAGTCACTGGAATGACATGGACGACATGCTCATTTTCGACGCTCGCCGTTCAGGGGCGCGGGGCGGCAAATTCAGGGGAAAGACCTCCTGTAGCAGCCCCTCGATGTCCATGTCTTCCAAGTTCCACTCGCTCGCCAGCCCTCAAGATGACGGGAGCTGGCCTTAAACCGGCCATCGAACCCTGCCAGTGGACAATGGGCCCCCGTTGAGCCTCTGCCCAGACTTCGCCACAGGGGAAACAGTCCCCATCGCGATCACTGCTGCGTGGAAGGGAGATGAGGAACGAGACGGCCCAGGAGGTTTGAGGAGGATCTGCTCAATGCTCGAGGCTGGAATTGAGGAGTCGCTAATTACCATCCCAGTCCAGACAGCGGCGAGGTGCCCCTGACAAGCCCCCACCCGACGCTCGTGGAGCTCTTTGCCGTCCCGTCTGGAATCCACAATCTGCGGCTCTTTGCACCAAAACGAACGCTTGGAACGCTTCCAGAAAAATCAGAGGGCTGAGGAAAAAATAGCAAGAAAATATCTCAGCCCACAGTGACATCCGCAGTAACATCAGATCGACCCGCTCCTGGAATCCTGGATACCTTGCTCTGTAGGGACACTGCCGACCCCGAAGTCCGGCGCGACAGCCCATCCATCCGACCCAGAAAATATTATGCAAGACAAAAAAGCGAAAAAGGGACAAAATGGTTGGACAAAATGTCGGAGCGGATTCTTGCATTGCCCCGTGCGCCACTTCCTCCAGTCACCCAATTGGCCAGGTGGCACCGCGTGTCCGGCACGGCGCGGCTCGCGACCGACTCGCGGACGTGGAATTGAACCTCACACTACAGCTTAAGCTCGCAGCTCTGCTCTAAGCTCCTTGCGGTGACATCGAACCACGCGCGGCACTCGACCCAGCAATCAAACTTTGATCCTTTGGTTGCCTGCCGCCGAACTCCCGTCTCCAGCGAGGGCTGCTCGGCCGGTGACATCCCTCTGCGATTTACCGAGCGCCCCGGGCCTCCGTCTCGGCACACCCACCCATCGCTGCCATCATCACCACGGCCTCCGACGTCATTCAGTCATGTTCGCCCGACATGACTCCCACCCGCGCCAGACTCTGATCGCGGCGTTTCTGGCCTGGAAGGGTCTGCTGCTGGCCATCGCCGCCGGCAGCGCTGTCGCCCCGTCATACGACACCTCCACGACCTTGATGCTCAACCGTAGCGAGTCTGGCCTATCGCTCGTCACTCGCCTCACCCGCTGGGATGCCATCTACTTCACCCAATCCGCCAAGCGAGGCTACGTCTACGAGCAGGAATGGGCTTTCAACGCCGTCCTGCCCTACCTGGCGTCTACCCTCGCCGGTGCTGCCCGCCGCCTCGGTCTTGACGGTGATGGCAGCGGCTCCCTGGAAGCGGCCTTTGGCATCGTGACCTCCCACGTCACACATCTCCTCGCCATCCTCACGCTGTACTCTCTGACCCTCCGTCTATTCAACCGCAAGCCTCTCGCCTTCCTCTCAGCCCTTCTCCACATCCTCTCGCCAGCAGGTCTCTTCCTCTCAGCGCCCTACGCCGAGGCCCCGTTCGCATTCCTCACCTTCCTGGGCTACAACATCCTCGCCTCGGCCTCCGCGCAAATCCGCGGCTCTCTCCCCTGGTCTGCAGCGCAAATTTCCGCGGGCGCCGCCTTCGGCCTGGCCACGGCGTGCCGCTCCAACGGGCTCCTCAACGGCATCCCCTTCGCAGCCGAGTGCATCATCATCGTACATGGCCTGCTCGCCAGCCCTATCACACCCGCAAGCGTCACCACCTCTCCCGCGGCTCTGTTGGCGCCTGGCGTCGGAGGCGTCCTCGTGGCCATGGGCTCCGTCGTCCCGCAGTACCTGGCCTGGGTAAGGTACTGTTCCGGCGCATCCGAGGCGCGCGCATGGTGCGGGTGGACCGTGCCCAGCATCTACTCCTTTGTACAGGAACACTACTGGTATGTATCCGCTCTCGTTGTTCCATCAGCCCTATCCGCGACCCTTGATTCCTCTTCCTGCCTGCAGTGGTTGAGGTACCCGTTCGGTACTTGCGGAGATTTACGGGTTGGGTCTTTGACATAGTTGGCCATCGGTGGAAAACTTTTGCTAATCACCGACACATCGCTAGGGGCGTTGGGTTCCTCCGCTACTGGACCCCCGGCAACATTCCGCTGTTCGCCTTGGCCGCGCCGGTGTTGGGTTTGCTGATCGCGTCGGGGTTGGATGTGCTCAAGAGGCCTTCGGGGTTGGGGCGGAGTCCGACGGCGGAGAAGGGCGGGACGACGGGCAAGCGTCAGAGTCAGAGTCAGGCTGCAGCGGCTGGTGGCGCGATGACGGCGATGGGCACGAGGGAGATTGTGGTGCTCTCGCTGGCGGCGTCGCAGGTCCTGCTGGCCGTCTTGGCGATCACGACGTACCATGTCCAGATCATCACACGGATCGCGTCGGGATATGCCGTCTGGTACTGGTGGGTTGCGGACAGCCTGCTTGACCCCCAGAGAGCTGCCCTGGGACGCAAGATTGTGACTTTTTTCGTCATGTATGGCGCCATTCAAGGGGCCTTGTTTGCTTCGTTCTTGCCGCCTGCTTGAAGGTAGATACCCTGGTCGTCCAATAGAGTTTTGATAGTCTCATGATTTGATATCAGATGTCGTCCAGCGGGGATATGAGATGGCAAGTTTTCCTCGTTGTAAAGTTTTTGGAGTGACAGCATTCTTCGGCAAGTCTGGAAAGATATCAAAAGGATCCCGGCGGGCGGGATGTCCTTGGCCTTGCTTGGCATCGAAGGGTCGTGAGGACGGGATAAGGTTTTGTTGGGCATGAGTGTAGTCCAAGCCCTAGTAGGGGTCCCTCGAGGCATGATGTATGATGTCAACGCTTTGTGAGCGCGGGATTCTGAGCTGTCATGTTCATGCCAAGAAAGCTTGCTTGGGATGTTGGATCGGGGTGACGGCATGGGTTCAATGTGATGGCGGTTGCTTTCTCATTCCTCGAGGATGGCGAGGGTGCTGAGCGGTGGGTGTTTGGAGGTCATGGGATGGAGGATGAGTGTCAATCATGCAATGGTCAGCTCTAGAAAGTTTCTTGCTTGCTTCGTTGACATGGATTTGTTCCAGAAGGTCTGGTGCTTTCGAGCTGTCTTTCAGAATGCCGGTGGAAGGCAGCGACTGTCGTTGCCTGCAAGTTGAGATTCACTACAGTAACATCAAGACTAAAATGACCGGGCCAATGGAACCGGAGATATTTGTAACGAATTGAATTATTTTGTGGAATAATTATGCTGTGCCATAAGCTGTATTGATTGCCCTGCGTTTTTCCGAAAATTGTGAATGGTTGCTTGATACACGTGTTCGGACAGAGTATCAGTCAGACTTTTTGTATCTGCGAATACGTTGCAGTCGGTCAATTTCAATCTCTGCCTGGTCTTGACCCAAAGATTTATATGAAGATGACCTATTTGAACGGGGAATGGACCCGCAACCATACCTCAGCTTCGCCAGTCTCTTTCAAATTGTAATGGTATCCATTCCCGATATACGTAGACACGCGTTTTAAAAGACCGGTCTCTCAGATCTCTGCATGACTGGATATCCTGGTTCCTCCAAGCCAGCGGTGTAGGCTCACATACCTATGAGGTAATGCCGCAAGCATAGGTCCAGTCTCCAGCTACAAGGGGGTTGCTCTGAGTATGCTGTAAGCCAGTTGCGCGCGCAGGTTGACGCCCCGCGAGTGCTTCGCTCAAGAATCTCTACCAAACCAATCGCTATTCAACCAAAACCAATCCAAGCTACAAGGCTCTGATTCTTCCCAGTTGATAAATATCTGTCGGCGCCCGCGCTCACTGAGATGTGGACATTTAGGAGGACATTTAGACATATGTTGTCGGGTGTGTTGTTGTTTAGCGAGGTATGGCTGGCTGATATCCCACCGTATTAACCGTGGACAAAGTACGCATGCCCAATAGTCTGTTAGGTCTTTTGCAATGAGTCCGACTATTGCGCGTCGTTCGGGGTTTGAAAGCCAGGGCAGTGTGCCTGTTGGGTGGAATGTGTAGAATGTGTACTTGCAAGCGAGAGCGAACACTATCCGTGACGACATTGGCAGCTTGTTCCTGATGTGGCTCAAGATCTCCCACGGCATGCTGAGGAGAGTGGGTTTTTGAATAGAGTGCCTTGCCAGGTCTCTCTGCTGCACATTTGGTAATGGCGTTTCCATTGTAGCAGTCACTTGGTTAAGGAATATAGTAATCAGATAGATCGCGTGAAACTGAATGGCTTAGGGATATGTTTAGGATGAACAATCGTCAATTGAATGCATTTTAATATTGCTTATAATTTGAATCTGTTATATCGGAGATGACAACGACCTATGTGAAGTACCTTGATAGGACAAAAACTTCATTCACAGTAGGATTGATATTAAAAATGTACGCGTGGACCTTGAAGGTCAAAGACTCAAGGTATAGGCAGCGATTTGAACCATCGAGCTCTCAGTGCCTTACCCTAACCGCCCACACAGAGCATCCTTTGAGTCTCAACGGTGTCACATGCTTCATCGACTTAGTTGTGATTTGCAAGTCGTCTTCAGGTGGGAATCAAAGAAATGCTACGAAATGGCGATGCACCACTTAAATGAAACAAGTGACACCTTCACTCCAAACTGTTGTAGCCTCGGCCATGATAAAAAAAAAGTCAAGTATTTTGCAGAAATGATTGGATGGCGCGATGACCAGAGGAGTGTTTGTTTTGAGTTCACAACATAATCAACGGTTCTTTGAAATACCATGTGGCCCAAGTCCCACTACTTCAATACAAAACAGACACACTCTTACTTATGCGGTCACAAAGGAATCAGTCCGGATATGAATATTCAATTGTAGTCATGCATCACGAGAAACGCTGTCTAAATGAACGATGTGATGTGGGAGTGCCTTGAGTGATGGCTCATGCGAGAGCATTTAACTCATAGTGTTGGACTATGCCTTGCTCCAGCTTGCCAAATGAGACATCAACAGCGTTCAACTTGTAGGGTGTTCCATCAAGAGTTTGATCTTGATGAAAGTCTGAGCCTGTGGCACAGGAGCCAGACAACATTCTTCACACACAAGAACCACCCTGTGCTGAGGTGCCCCAGTCTTAGCTTGATCATCACATCGAACACAAGTAGCTACGTGAGACCTTCGTCAACTAATTCATGAGTTCACTTACGAGCAAAATCCTTCAACTGTCGAGATCCTATGCCGGTGAATGCAGGCGACATGTGGCGGCACGGCATGGCGACTTCCAGGGCTAGCTGGACAGATCTAAAATTTTGCGAAGACGATGAGCACCCGGCATCGAAGTACTTCAGGCACATGAAGTACTTAACAGCATACATGATTACCAGGTGGATCGTCTACTCTCCATCGCCAGTGGCATAAGGAGTTTCTGGCTGAATCATCTCATTCAACAGAGTGATGACATGCTACTCCCAGATATTTCCCTAAAGCGATGACTTTTCGATTCTATCTTTCAAACTATGCAAATGCCTCTTTCAGGCGGGGTATCCGGTCTAATTCTAAGTCATTACCAGGACGGCGGCTCTATCCCGGCCACCGTCCAAATTACTATTACGAGCTCCCAAAGAAATCAAATGACGACAACCAACGAACCTCAGTCGCTGTCTTCGTCACGACCGGGCCAGACAAGCTTCCTACGCACCACAGCCCTGGCGCAGCAGAACCCGACGAAGAGCCACACCGCCACCAGCAAAATCGTAAACACCGTCGCCAACCACAGCAACCCCTCGCTTCCGAACGCCTCGCCGATGCGGATGGTAGCTACGGTGAAGCCCACGTTGGGAAACACGAAACTCCACCAACTCAGATGAAACGAGTGGTCGGGCATGCCGAAGACAGTCGACAGACACGCGGACGAGAAGAACCAAAACGACAACCCCCAGAGGAAGACGGCGGTGAAGAGCGCGACGGCGCGGATGGCGAAGGCGACGGTGTTTGGGTTCTCCATCTCGGTGAGGTAGGCGGCGGAACGCAGTGATGCCGGGACGAGCGAGCTCTCGGAGGCGATCAGGCGCGGGACGTCGGCGGCCATGGAGACGAGGGCGGCGGCGGTGAAGCTCGGCGGCCCGACGGCGATGAACATGCCCGGCCGCTGGACGGGGAGGCCGACGGTCATGAGGCGGGAGAGGTATGTGGCGTACATGAAGGCGGAGACGAGGAAGCCGAGGCCCTGGGCGGCGAGGCCGGCGCCGAGCATGGCGGCGGCGTGGGCCGGGGGCTGGGAACGGCACATGAAGCCGGCGAGGGTGCCGGTGAGCATGACGGGGAAGATGGGCAGGATCCAGGCGGGGGTCATGCTGTCGAGGGAGAGGCGGCGGCGGCCGGTGAAGAGGAGGTGGTACATGCCGACGGAGGCGAAGAAGGTGACGACGAGGTAGAGCCAGAAGGCGACGCGGAGGGTGGTGAGCAGCCAGGGCCCGCATTTGGGGACGGCGTAGTGCTGGATGTTGGAGAGGGCGGCGGCGAGGGAGAGGAAGAAGGTGGGGATGAAGAGGGACTCGGAGGGGTGGGTGATTGCCTTTGCGGGGGCCTTGCGGAAGAAGGAGAAGCGAAGGCAGAGGACGAGGGTGATGAGGAAGATGAGGAGGATGTCGAGGAGGAAGACGACGAGGCCGATGGTGTCGAGGCCGGTGAAGCGGTGGGGCGTCTCGGCGAGGAGGAGGGCGATGCCGCCGGTTGACATGCTGGGAGTGGGGGGTTAGCTCGGGGTCGTCGGGGCCGATGGGGTCGGATCCGGCACCGGGGTGGGGGAGGGGAGGTCTCACGTTAGTGTGTACCATGCAAAGGTGAAGTGGTGGATGCGCTCGCGCAGTGAGACTTTCTCGAGGATGGTGTTTGTGCGGGAGCGGGTGCGCGAGATGGTCGCCATGAGGGCGTTTTGGGGCGGCGCATCCGAGTTGCCCTGGGCCACCGACCTGGTTGAGGTCTTGGACATGTCTGGGGGATGTTAGTGAGGTTCTACTTCGAATGAGGAGAATTTGATGGCACTTACTTGCCTCTTCATCTACTACAGCCATGATGAGAGACGGAACACATTGAATGTGTGGCTTTTGTGAGTTTGCGTTGAAATCTGGTGAAGCTGGAGTGGTGGTTTTGAGAAAAGTGGTAAGGTGAGGTTATCGACGTCACCGCGCTTGCACCAGTTTCGGGATGGGCCCTGTATTTGATGTGGGTTGGGACGGATGAGTCAGCTGCTGTGCTGTGCTGTGGCGCCAAGGTGGGGGTCACGCCAGAGGGCAGGTAATGCTTGGGTGACGAGAAAGGGGGCTCGTATGATGCTGTGCTATTTATCGAGGATACGACGTGGTCTGGGCTGGGGCTGTGGACGAATATTTGTAGGTTGGGTTTTCTTTTGGGCTCCTCATGGTCCATGGAAATAGACGGGAATTTGGGCGAGAAAAAAGTTAGATCGGCAGGCCATGGTTCGGTAGGCCCGATTGAACCCGGGCCGGAACGGTGTGGCGTCGGCCTCGGCGCCGAGTGGCGGGCGGGATTTCGCTTTGAGTGATGGGTTTGATAGATGTCAAATCCAACTAGGTGAATTTTCAAGTAATCGAGAAGTCACCTTCATGGATTATGATGATGGGTTGTGATAGTGATGATTCTACACAATGGCAGTCAAAACATGACATTGCGTCATCCAAAGCTCTAATAGATGCGGTTTCCAATTGAGCGTGCGCCCACATGCGATTCCCATCACATGAATTGCGACTGTCTAAAAACAGCGCCGACGATGCGACGACGACTTGCTGCGACTGCTGCTTAAAATTTGGGGACGACCCGGCACTTGTTCGCGCGATGCCCAAGGTACGATAAAGTACTGGGCGTGCAGGACACCTTTTTTTCTGGACCCTAGCTTTGTTCCATGGCGGCGACAGGATTTTTGACAGGAACGCAAGAATCCTTCCCGGGTGTCATGTGAGGTCTCTATTGTTTCTTGGGATGGAACTTTCCGGGTGTCGGGTTACAGGCGCAGGCAGATCAGAGGCAACGCGGCCTACCCTCCACCTCAGCACCTCACACCGATCGTGACACTGAAACACGGCTTGGCTTATGGTGGTTGAGGGAGGCAGCAGGCCTGGGTGCGCATCACATAGAAGTGTCCGAGATGGTGGTGGCTGCGGATGATTGCGTCCTCTGGTCCGCCTTCGGCGAGCGGATTGGGAATGGGAATTCGGAGCTGGGAACGGGGAAATCCTAGGGACTCAGGGAGTGACAAGATGCGAGGAGCATTGGCCACATTCAAGGTCCAGGTCCCAGGATCCATTGTCTTGCTGTCTGTCTGTCTGCCGGCAGTGTTCGGCCGGCTCGCCGCTCCGAGTCAGTGGGCAGAGGGTGGTCCGGTGAGGCCTGACTAATCAGTAGACAGTGGCCAGAGGCTGCCGGAGTGGTCGCAGATGCAGGTTTCAATGTTGATACAGAGTCAAGAGGAGGCGGACGATCCATCAAGACGTGGCTGGAGATGCAGGTAGCCGTGGCGGCGGCAGGTTTGTTTTGTGCGGTGCGGAGTGAGGGTCGAGGGGCCGTTGTCGTTGTGTTGGTGGTGGCCATGGCCCATGATCGCGTGGGCTGCAAGGTGGTTGGCCCTGGTCGCAACGTGGGTGGAAGACAATGCGACGTGTTCTGGCGATCACGGGGCTGTTGGGGGAGGTGTTCGTCGGGAAGCGGATGTTGGTGGTTCATGCTGTGGGATGTGAGCGGACGGCCGGTCACTCGTACTCATTTGCGTTGTTTTCTCTCTAGTGACGTGGGAGGTATGCTATGGAGGAGACAACATGGTCTGCTGCTGGTCATTAATGTTTGTCAATTGTGCTGAGGTCCGGACTGGCCATGAAGGATGCTTGATTGCTTGTTGACGAGAGCTTCATGTCGTTTGCTTGCTGCATGTCAGAGTGCTGTTGGTGATGGATGTGACGGGTTGGATCTCCTGCTTCCTCCAAGTGGAGAGCTTCCTGGTTCAGTAAATGTTGCAGCAAGTACCATCCATGTGTCTGCGTCGTTAAAACAGGTGGAAGCAACATGGAGGTACATCGCCATAGGAAAGCGGCTCGCTCGTGCGGAGGAGGGAGCACTGGCCCTGCGCAGGTGCAGCAGCTGCCACTGCACCCGAGGAGAAAGTGGAAGTCGCGGACGGCAGGTGGGGCGATTGAGGGAATGGAAACTTGGGAAAGAGCAGGTGCACCCAGACAAGACAAGGCTGCCAAGAACGCGTACAGGTGGAAGGTGCTGTTCGTCACCACTTACTGCTGTGCTGCTGCTTGCTCCTGCTCCTGCTGCTCTGGGCGGGCTGCTTAAGCTTAGCGCGCGCCGTCAGGGCAGGCAGCCGAGAGAGTGAGGTGGACCTACCTTGGGTGGTGGGCACGAGGTCCCTCCCTCTCCATGTATCCCTACTGCAAAACACGGCTGCAGGATACATGGTCATCCAAAGCTCTATCTTATGTAAGGTGGTCTGCTTGGGGGAGCTGACCTCACTGCTCCTCCGTGTGGTGGCCAGCCCTTCCCAGCAAAGGTGAGGCCCAGGCTGCCCTCTGCTGCATCATCACTGGCACTGCCTGTGCCTGCACTGCACACTGCACACTGCATTGCACCTCTCTCCTCTGTCCCGCCTGCGCCTGTGTGTGTCGTTGTCTGTGGTTGTGCTGCTGCTCCATGCGTGCGCGCGTGTGTGTGTGTGTGTGTGTGTGTGTGTCCTCACCACGTTATTCCCGTCCCGCCTGCCTACGTCCATCTTCCCCCGTCCACGCCCACGCCTGGCAGGCAAGGTATTTGACCAAAAGAACACCCGACCTCCAACATCACCTTTCTTTTTTTTCCCTCCTCTCCTTCTTTTCGTTGCATCCCCCACCGCCGCCCATTGCCTGCCCCATTTCGAGGCAGAGGGGAAACTGCATTGACCACATTCCATCTTTCCGCCGGTGATTGCATTTCCAATTGACCACCACAGGATTGTCAGCATCTCGTCCTGTCCTGCCGGCCATCGAGGTCGACGTGCTGCTCCGGATCAACGAACCCCCCGCGACCGACGACACCCCGACCGACCGTGGACGCCCAGCTCTTCCCGTTAAAATACCTTAGTTGGTGTGGAAGCGGGAGCTGGATACATCCTGCCTGCACCTGTGCGACCACAAAGTAGCTGCCACCACCGCTGCCGCTGCCGCCGCCGTCTGCCATTGCCCCTCCGCTCGGCCCTCCCCCATCGTCTTCGTTGCCGCCGTCGTCTTCGTCGTCGTCCGCCGTCCTCTTCAACATCGAGCGTAGACGGCATCACTACACAGTTACACACACAATGGACGAGACACCGGGGCCCCAGCCCTCCAACCACGCTGCTGCGCTGTCAGCCGCCTCGACAGCACACTTCCTGTCGAGCCACTTCGCCTCCGTCGACACCATCTCACGCTCCAACTCCCCCGGCCCTCCCTACACCAAGACGGACGAGGACGACAAGAAGCGCTACCGTCCGCGCACCTTCAGCTACTTCAACCACCTGCCCTTCCCCGTCGAGAAGGAGGAGCAACGCGATGCCGCCCTCGCCGGCATCCTCAAGCATCTCTACATCGCCATCAAGGCCGAGGACTTCAGCCCAGGCGCACTGCACTGGACCAGGGAGCTGCAAGGATGGCTGAACCTCAAATTCGAGATGACGAGAGAGCTGCGCTCCACCTTGGCGAAGCTCTACTACCACCTCTGTCTGGCCCCCGGTTTGGACCCCAGCACCGCCGACCGTTTCTTGCGCATGGTCGTCGTGCTCACTAGGTGTGTCCACCGTCCTCCGCCGTCCTTCGTCGTCCCCGTCGCCCTTCGTCGTCCTTCGTCGCCCCCCGTCGTCTCTGTTGCTAACGCCCGTCATCGCCAGGAAATATCACTACCTCAAGCCCGTAGACGACCTCCTACTCGACTGGCGCCCGCTATGGAGAGAAATCAAGGCCCTCGTCCTGCCATCCGAAGTGGCCTCACATCAAACCAACCGACGTCGATCGCAGAAACAGCTATGGAAGTTATGTTTACACGCCCAGACATACTTCGACCCGAAAGACCGCAAGGAGATGCTCGACGAGTTCTTGCCCTACTTCAGCACATCCGACGTGTCCAACGCATACATCGTTGTGGGTACGATCAACGCCTTGCTGCCAACCGACGCGGCCCCCGAGAACGTCCCTTGTTCCCAGCCGCAGGAGTTCATGCCCACACTTTTCCACCTGTGGTCTCTGATTGCGCGTTCTAAGAGCTTCGACATCTTCTTTATCGACCTATACTCCCGCATGGCGAGGGACTTCCTGCAGTCGACCCACACTCCCTTCGACGCCCACGGCATCTTTACCCAGGAGCAGTCTGAGTGGATCTTCACGGCTGTTCTGCGCCTGACAGAGATCCCTGTTGGCCAGTCAAACTCTCCGTACTCCACGCTGGATTACTCGTCCGGCTTAGGTCTGTACCTGGAGAAGGACAAGAAGAAGTACCCGACGGCGTACATGATTGCCAGGTGGATTGTTTACTCTCTCTCGCCCAAGTGCCTGGAGCAGGAGAGTTCAATACTGGCCAACTTGGAGGGTTTGCTTGAGGCCATTGACACCTTCTACCACCCGTCGAATGCCGGTTCTTGGACGACCTTCCTCGGCCAATTCACCGTCTATCTCACCGACATCTTTGTCTCTCGCTGGAACCGCGAGAAGAGTGGCGAGCTGGACACGCCCGAAGACCGCAGGATCACACCCGCTTTGAAGGCACGCTTCGTGACAGCCCTCAAGGAGGTCACATACATGGGTCTCTTCTCAAAGAGCAATAGAGTCGCTCACTACTACTACGCGTCTCTCCAGGGCCTGGCCTACCTGGAGCCCAATCTCATCTTGCCCGGCGCTCTGCAGCGATTCTACCCCAGCTTGCAGGGCTTGGTCGAAGTTCACCGTACTACTTCAAGTCTGAACGGCCTGCAGATGATTGCCAACGTCATGTCCAAGACCAAGGGCTTCCGATGCCACATCACAGCCCTCCTTGCCCTGGCCTTGCCCGGCATTGACGCCAACGACCTGGGAAAGACGCAGTACACCCTCAACTTCTTCCAAAGTGTGGCTTACAGCATCCCCATGGTCCCGTTAGTCAAGGATAATGACTCCGTTCATGACACTAGCCTGGCCATGCAATGGGTTCAAGGCGAGATGGAGCGCATGGAGCGCGAGGGACAGGATATCAAGCTCGACTACGAGACTGAAATTTCTGATGAAGACGAGGCGAATATTTTGAGATCCTCGACGGCAGGACTTGGCGAGTTCGTCATCGCCCTTCTTGGCAAGGTCTTCACATTGCTCGAAAATTTGCCAGACGCCTCTCATATCAGAGGAGGCACTCCAGAGGACAACGTCATCAACGCCTTGCCCGCCGCGCTCTCTCCTCTCTTCGCATCGTTGTCGCCTGAGCTCTTCGACACCGCCCTCGAAAAGCTCTCCTCATTCGTATCAACACACGTTGTCCACCAGGCGAGGGATGCCATGGCGTGGATCCTTAACGCCCTGTGCAAGGTCAATCCCGAAAAGACGCTCAAGGTTTTCATTCCGATGCTCATCGTCAACATTCGCAACGAGATCGACTACAACCACGCTGCTTCCGACAGAAGCAGTGGGACAGACTATTTGCCTAGAGACCGCGCATTGGTCTGGCATGTCAGCATGCTTGGCATGGTTGTCGTTCACGTCGGAAACGAGGTCCTGAAGTACCAGAATGAGCTCCACGACGTTGCCAAGTACATGCAAGAGAAGTGCCGAGGTCTTCCCACGATCCATATTTCCAACTACATCCATCATCTCCTCCTGAACCTGACGCATACCTATCCCATCGATAGCGCTCTTTATGAGCCTGATATCATCAAGCGTGGCCTTGACGTGGGCGACTGGGGCAAGACCACTTCTCCTGCTGACCTGACCATCAAGTGGCACCGGCCCTCGGCTGGAGAGATTCAGTTCGCCGTCGAGCTGTTCGACTCCCAAACCAAGGCAGCCGCGCAGAAGTTGGATTCTTTGATGGGCGAGCATCCACCGGTCAGCCGTAAGGGCAAGAACAAGGAGTGGTCCGACGAGGTTTCAAGACTGCTGCAGCAGATTCGCTTGGTGATATCTGGTGTTGCGACTCTCTTTGATCCTCATCGTGCGGCCGGCGAGACGGCAGACGGTGCGAAGGAAGACGGTGATGGCGACACCCCGATGGATGACGATGACCCTCTGGCCGAGGCTGCCGAAGACGAGGAGACACGTCCTCAGTACCGGTACGACGCCGGCTATCTTCTCACCGAGGAGGATCCAGCTTACGGCAAGCTGCACGAGTTGAGAGAGGACGTCGGCCAGCTGTTATGCCGCACGCACGATTTTCTCAACCAGAAGCAAGAGGATGACGTGTCTTGCTTCACCGCGCTCTACGCAGCTTACCGCACATGGATCACCGACGTCGGTATCGAGCGCTCTGCCCACCCGTTGGAGAGACACCTTCGCTTGTACAAGTCGGACATCTCAGCCTTCAAGATTAGCGGTCTTCGCAAGGTCTACCCGCGTCCTCTACTGATCAAGCGTGCAGACGCGTACCAGCTGCTGCGAGTTAAGCACAATGCCTCCGCAAGGCAGAAGAGCGAGCTGGACAGGAAGCTACTTCTGAACCTAGCCCAGTCGTCCGTGTCTTCGTACGCCGACGTCAGGCGGGTAGCACAAAGCGCTTTGGACTCGTCCCTCAAGGCTCTTATCGGCGGTCGCCCCCTCGTCATCCCGGTCCTTATCGAGAGGCTTCGCATCGCCCTGGAAGAGATCGACCATGATCGCATCAAGGGTGCCATGTATACTCTCTTCTTCACTAGTCTCCTGAGGACCATCGTCAAAGACTGGCGGTTTGCCCCGGAGGCCCTTCGACTTTACTTAAAGGCAGGCACCATCGACAAGCCCAGCATCCAGCAGCTGGGCGCCACTGCGCTGTTCCCCCTATTGGATTTCGGAAAGCCATTCGAGCGGATGATCATCGTCAATCAGGACCTTGTGGAGCAGATCCGTCCTACGGAAGACTGCTCTCGCCCCATTGACAACCGCCACAACTTCATTGTCCAGCGTCGCGAACGTGTCGAAAAGAAGAAGGCGGCCTTGGGCTTGGAGCTGGTCGATATGGCCAAGGAGGCGCACTGGAAGATTGCCTCCCGATGCGTGATATTTGCTACCAACTTGTGCCTACGCTTCGACAACTTGGCACCTCCAGAGTTCATCAAATTGATGGCGCATGGCACGAACGATACCCACCCTGGGCTTCGGGCTAGTTACACGTCCGCCTTCACCTCCGTGTTCGAGGCCGTCGAGATGCGCGCCGCGTATGACCACGACTACCGCAACTACTTGTTGGAGAAGGAGAAGGATCGGAATAAACTGGCGATAGAGGTGAAGAAGGGCGACAAGGACTTTACCGACCGCTATCTCGCGGCCTTCGCTGATTCCGACCCCAACAAGGCTGAATACATGGTGGACTCCGACCATCCCGGATGGCTTGTGTGGGGCAAAAAGTTCCTCGCCTCTCGTGCGAAGCCCGACCCCTTTACCGACTACGACGAGCGAGAGGCCGCCGTGCGGTCGCAAATCGGCAAAATGCTGACGCGCGACTGGCTGAAGACCTGCTTCGACTACCTCAAGCAAGAGCCCCGCGACGCGGGCGCCGATCGGTTCCGTATGGGCAACGTGTACATGCTCATGCACGTATTCGACCTAATGCACTACGGAGGGACGGAGATCACGCTGGACGACGTCAAGGAACTCACTACGGACGTATACGGCGACGGCAGTGATAAGCACCAGCACCGGGCGACATCAGAGATACTGGCGGCACTGATGGCCGGGTCTAGTGACGACCCCCTCGAATTCCGTGATAAAGTGTGGGGCTTCGCCGCTACGTTGATGTTGAAGATTCTCAACGAGGACCTGACGCCGGAGAACCTGCAGTACTGGGTCTCCTGCCTGCATCTGACAGTAGATCCGAAGGACCCTCGTCGATCTCACGAGTTGGTCGACACCCTTAGTGCTTTCAGGTTGGATATGTCATCCAATGCCGCGTTCAAGGAGTCGAGCAAGGTGCAAGTGCTCGAGTTTATTATTACTGACGCTGGCTGGCACTTCCGTCACGAGAAACCGATCCTCGAAGACTTTTTGGCTCATATCGACCACCCGTACAAGACGGTCCGTGAGGCAATGGGTCGGGTCATCGCTACCATCTACCGCACCAGGTACCACGAATCGTTCGAGAACGTCGACCGTTTGCTGGAGGCAAACAAGGAGGCCTCGTCTCTGGGAATTCGCCCTTACAAGTGCACCGAGGAGTTCGACGCTACCATGCGCGAGATCTTCGATCGACTCGAGAAGTGGCGTAAAGAGCGTACGCCCGGACAGCAAACGCCGTCTTCCTACACCTCCGGATCGAAGACGGTCTTGACTTGGCTGGACAGTACGCTTTCGTCTCAGGAGTGTACTCAGCTGATGCCCTTCTTCCCGGAGCCTTATATGGAGCAGCTCCTCCACATGATGGATGTCAAGGAAGACCCCGAGCTTATGCGTCTCGCCTATCATGTCTACCGTCACCTGCCCAACATTCCTTTCCGCGTAGGCGAAGATGGTCCCTTCATTGATGCTCTGGTCAGGATTGGCAAGTCTGCGACCAGCTGGCACCAGCGGTTGAGATCCATGGTCAACATGCAGGTCATCTACTTCCGTCGCTTGTTCCTCATCGAGAAGAAGCAGCGTGACATCTTGTTTGATGCTGTCAGTGACATGCTGGCTGATGCGCAGCTTGAAGTTCGATCTTGCGCTTCTGCCACTTTGGCCGGCATGATCAGGTGCTCGCCGAAGCGCATCCGCGATCCTACCATTCAGCTTCTGAAGAAGCGCTACGAGAACGAGTTGCGTCTCAACCCCATGCCGAAGCGGAAGCTCCCAGGCACCGAGACGCCGGTCGACACCACCAAGCAGATCGTCCGCAGGCATGCGGCTGTCCTTGGTCTGGGTGCGCTCATCGAAGCATTCCCGTACGCCACTCCGCCGCCGTCCTGGATGCCCGAGGTTCTGCAAATTCTGGCGACTCGTGCAGCTAGCGACCCGGGAGTCGTCGGTAAAGCCACAAAGGCAATTCTTTCCGACTTCAAGAAGACCAGACAGGACAGCTGGAGCGTGGATCAGAAGGTACGTCGGCATGTCACATGTTATTTCATACACCAAGCTAACAGTATCATGCAGTACTTCACTCAGGAACAGCTTGAGGACCTGGAGGGTGTGTTGTGGAAGAGCTACTTTGCCTAAAATGGCGCTGGACGAAGACGCCGGGCGACGACGCCGGGCGAAGACGCCGGATGAAGGCGCCGGACGACCAAAGACGGGCGAGGACAACGAGAGAGACGACGGCAAGGATTACGACGATAGAAGCATTGAGGCATACTTGAACAGCAGGCTTTTCCGTCGTAGTCGTGTAAAGTGGGTTTGGTCATTCATAGATGTACGGTTATGAAGGCATGCGTGGACGATGATATCCAACTGGGTTGCATGGCTCCATTAGACGGGGTCAACGGATGGATTCTGGGATAAAGAGAGTGTGTATTGGGGAGCTAGTTTCATAGCTCATACATCGTTTCTGCCATTGGACTTTCACGAAGCTCGGGTGATCACTGTGTGGAGAGTTCCGTGACTACGCAACGTCAGGCAACTCGCGTGGATTTCTCCGGCTAGTTTGCCCAGTTTGCAGCTTATTTCGGAAGGTTATCGTGAACTTTATTTTGAGGGAAGCCAACGTTCTGGAACAAGCTGATGCATCCAGACCGGGGCCCCATTAACGATTCACGCGAGGCCGCCCTCTGATTGCTGGCCTCATATGAAGATGCGCGCAGCGACAGGGAAAGAGCTCTCGCCGACGCCGTTGTCAATGTTTCAGGGACCCAGTTCAGACGTCTGAGACGTGTACCGGCGGGGTGGCGCGGCCGAGGGGCAATGACTCGGCGCGCGCGTGTGAAGCGCAGAGTCGCACCGGAGTGCGGATCGTTCTGCCGGAATAGACGAGGCGGAGGGGGGCCTCAGCTGTCGGTGTCTCTTGTAATGACTTGACTCGGCTTTGTTGACGATGTATAAAACGGATGAACTGGAACGTTCGGGGTGGATAGTTGGTTCATCTCAAGTTCATCCAGCCTCTCTATTCAGTCTTCTACACTACAGCGTTGATCGCCCAGTTTTTGTTTGCTTTGCTCCAAAGCCTTGTTTGAATCATATACCCAAACCAGCAAAATGAAGTTTACGATTGTTGCCACGAGCGTTTTCGTCGCTCTCGCTTCCGCGCAGGCCTCGACGTTCCTGTGCAGAGACATCAGCAACAACGTGATGACGGATGGAAGCATTTGCACCGGCGCCGGTGGAAAGGATTTCGGCAGGGGAGTAAGTTGTTATCTGACGTGAAGAGTGTAGAGGGAGAGATACTGACTTGGGATTAGATTTGCTGTATCGCCAAGTCGAACGCTCTGGCGCAGAGCCGATTTGATATTAACTGCGACGATAAGCTTGGTACTACGCAGAACACCGGCGAGGCTTGCCAGCTTTAGAGTGTATGTCACGTAAGGAGGAAGCGAAGGGTCGAGGGGTTGGTGAACAATATACCCGGTTGAGATTGAATGCTTGCCCGTTTGATTATGATGATCGTGATCGTGCTTGTGCAATCGGATATTGTGACGAGTAAGCAAAAGCCGATTTTGTATCACATCAGAAACAACTCGAGCCTGCCTGTGTCGTACAGTCGTGGTGTCCAGAAGGAGTCCAAACACCCTATGATGTTGATTATCTTCATTGTGCCTATGGCCTGTACTAAACGATTCTGTCCTCCCCGCTGTCTGGACTGGTCTAGTCGTTCTAGCTGCTCTTGTCGTCCTAAGGTAGCTGGAGACAAGAAAGTTCGGCCCCACAATCGCGGATACGCTCCGGCGAGCGTCTCCGGCGAGCGTCTTGAGATGGGGCGGATGTCGCAGGAACTCGGAGAGGTGCACCGGACAGGGACATGGTACCCCAGCATGTAAAAGCCTCATCGAACCAATCTTCGCGCTTGTGGCTGTTTGTCGCGGTTCTTCATCTGCCAGGTTGAGAGCACGTCATTGAATGACGAGAGCAGCGGCACGGCTTCCGAGTGGGCGATGACCGGCCTGAACCGACTCAGCCGGCGATGTTGAATTTAGAGTGCGGCATCGCTCAACTGATCAAGCTCTTGCGCCATATCAACTGGTGTTTGCGTTTTGGGCTTAGCCAAAGAGTTTCCTGTTTAAAAGCCGCGGCGAAAGCTTCGAGGACTTCGTCCAGCTTCACAAAACATCAAACCCTCGTCTTCCATTGAATCGTCGTAAAGCCCCAGACTTGGGAACAATTGCAGGATGAAGCTCACGCCAGGGGTCGCATGCCTTAGCTTGGCATCTCTTGCAGCCGCTGACTGGCGCTTTCGGTCCCGCCCCGAACTTGCCGCCCCGAGACTCAACATTACGGTTTCGGCCGACCGCAATGCCGTGGAGGAGGGCTTCATCTTTGTGGCACCCTACGAGGGTTTCCAAGAAGGCCACATAGGCCCTGTCCAACCGGGAGCTTACATCTTTCGAGACGATGGAGAATTGGTCTGGTCTGGCATAGGACATCATTCCGGATGGGTCGCGAACTTCCGCCCCGATACTTGGAACGGGAAGCCGTATCTGCGTGCATTCCAAGGATCGCTGGATGGGAAGCACGGTAGGATGTTTGGCTACCACACGCTCCTCGGGCCCGACTATGAAGTCGCCAAGGTGGTCAAGGTCGGATCGCACCGGCTCGTCTCGGCGCACGAGTTCCGGCTCGTTAACGGGAAGACGGCCTTAGTGGAGACGCCGATCCCGCGAACGGTGTCGTTGAAGCCATGGGGAGGGACTGCGGAGCAGAATTGGATTCTCTCAGGAGGATTTCAAGGTAAGCGTTTCTCCGTTTTATGTCAGTCTGCTGCTAATCATTCTTATAGAGATTGACTTTGACACCGGAGACGTCGTCTTCGAATGGGAGAGTTTTGACCACGTTGATCCCAAGTGTGAGTGATTGAACACCGGGGGTCGGTTGGTTGCCGATGACTTACTCTTCTCAGATAGCGCTTTCCCGCTCGATTTTGGCGTCGGTCTGCCCGGCAACGGCAAAAGCGAGACGGATGCCTGGAACTATTTCCACATTAACAGCGTTGACAAAGACAACGAAGGGAAGTATCTCGTTTCAGCGAGGAACGTCGCGGCGGTCTTCAAGATCAACGGAACCAGCGGCGAGATCATCTGGCAGCTCGGAGGCTTCCACGGAGGCTCTTCATTCGCGCTGGCCAGCGAAGACGTGTTTGGTTATCAGCACCACGCACGATTCCGCAGCCGTTCCGCAGATGGAAAGATCGAGATCATCTCTCTGTTTGACAATGGAGCACATTCGGCACCCCAGAAAACGAACGCGTTCTCGCGGGGTCGTATTTATCAGTTGAACCACACTGACGGCACCGCGAAAGCGATCCAGACATACGACGCACCAGATGGCTTGTCGGCGCACACGCAGGGTAGCTTGCAGATCCTGCCAAACGACAATATCTTTATCAACTGGGGCCAGTCTGGTGCGGTGACAGAGTACAGCCATGAGGGCAAGGTCTTGTTTCACGCGTACCTCGATTCTGCTCCGGAGGGTATCTTTACGCAGAGCTATCGTGGCTTCAGATTCAATTGGACCGGAACGCCTGCTGAGGAACCTGCCATTGTGGCTTTCAAGGGTGCTCGTGATGACGATTTGGATGTCTACGTCTCATGGAACGGGGACACAGAGACCACCTCGTGGAGGTTCTATGCCCGGTTTGCAGCAGGATCTAAGGAAGATCTCTTGGGAGAAGTTGAGAGCGAGGGCTTCGAGACCCATGCCAAGTTTCTTGCAGTAGCTGTGGCTGATGGCACCGCGATCATTGCAGAGGCTGTTGGGAAAGATGGCAGAGTGCTGAGGAAGACGAAACCTGTCCCGATTTCCGTCGACTTGGCTCATCCGCCTGCTGAACCGAAGTGGGGGAATGACGAATTGTGAAGCAATTCAATAATGCTACATGCAGCCTTCGGTGCGTTGTTTGTAAATCATTGAACGCGACACGTAGATCATGAAAGATATGTAACGGAACTGAGATTGGAAGAATCCACGTTGAGCAAGCAGAGATGTAGAATCTGAAAAAAAAACCGTATCCCATGGCGAGGGAATCATCAGAGACAACGAAGCGGTCGGTGCTTCAAATGGTTTCCGAGATATGCTGTCCCATAATTCGGAGCATCTACTTGGCCTCCCTGTGCGGAGAAGAGGATTCAAACCTTGAACATTTCCAAGGCGGCTCTGCTGGGCGCGATCATAGCTTCCGTGCCAAGTTAAACATCGAGCCAGATTCCATCTTGTGTTGAGGCGCTTCGGTCAACTCCCGAGCACCAAGAAGTCTTGGAGTCTTGGGGATCTTGGCCCGCCATCTTGGCCCGCCCGCCGCGCTCCTCCCCTCCAACCATTCTTGGTCTTCATTCGACGAGTTTGCCGCCAAATGTTGAGATCAGCCCTGTTCCCGACTTTCAGGTCGGTCGAGGCGTCGGATGTTTTGCCATCTTGGTCTTTGAGAAGACATGTATGGTTAAATCTCAGCGGCTCTGCGAGATGCACGCCGAGCCCGCCCAGACCCTAGGGCGGCTTCGCGATGGAGACTGTACTTAGATGAACCCGCTGTTGCTAAATGCTTGCAAGAGAATCAACGACTGATTAACCTCGGATGATGGGAAGATATCGGAAAAGAAATCAGTGGGACTTGTGGAGGCGGGCGTGGTAGACGATCACTTTCATATTGTCTTGGTTGGCAAGTCGACATCCACGTTGGAAAAGACCCCATCTGCTGAGAATACTGGCGTGGAGCATCTCGAATCTGGAGGCGGGGTCTGGGGAAAATGAGGAGGGTTGAAGCGGAGAGATATGGGGAGACGGGGCAATGCGAAGCGAGATCCGGCCTCAACTGATGCCGTTGTTGAATTGTCCTTCACCGTCTACTTTTCCTTCCCTTTCTTTATAAGAAGCTTCTTGCGTTCTGATTTTTTGATCTGAGTTTATTTTCTGATTTATCTCATTCTCAATTCCTGTCAATCTCAGTTCCTTTGCAAGATATGGTTGCCGAAGAAAAGCCCTCCCAACATACTGGAGGCACCGTTCCCCCAGGTGCCGTCGAGACCAACCGCCCAGATGAGGTCAACAAGGAACCGTCAATTGTCGAGGCAAATGAT